ATTAATAATTCAATCTCTTGGCCAGTAAATTGATAAACAGTTGGATGTTGTGGATCAGCTATACTCCAGTGTGCTATTATAGCACTGTGAGTTGGATGTTGTGAATCAGCTATACTCCAGTGTGCTATTATAGCATTGTGAGCTGTAAGGATGTTGTGAATCAGCTATACTCCAGTGTGCTATTATAACACTGTGAGCTGTAAGGATGTTGTGAATCAGCTGTGCTACAATATGTTGGATGACATCTTGTAGGTTTTGCAACAACTTCCACACCACCGAAACTGTTTACAAGGTCATTTTGCTTGTGGTAAACACTTCGATAAATAGCATGTTCAAAACTTGTGTTAGTTATTCCAATAGTTTTAATTTCACTAATTAGTATAGTTTTTAGAGCCACGTGGAAAAGAACTATTCCTGATTTATTCAATCGTTGCCATGCTTATATGTTTCACTCTGCACTTCGTATTTGCCTGATCACTTCTTTGATCAAACTCGTGCCTTCCACCATAGAAAATAAAACCTTGTTTTTTTTGTCATTTCTGTGTCTAAGCCTGTTTATTTATTCCTTATTTTAGTAGATAACTGTCATACAATATACAATTTTTGTCCAGTTTTTAAATGTTGATAGTAGTAGCACCTTGAAGCTCTAACTTAACCTCACCTTTTCAACATAACCTTATAACAAAGAAAGGACACACTAATAAAAACTGAGGATAAAATTAGTTTGTTCTGATGTTCAGGCTTAACTTATTCAGCTTTCAAATATAACACAGATCTTAATTTTGTCAATTTCTTGCTTGCTGCGACACAGTGGCCAGAGACTCAGGAAAACTCTTTATGTAAATAACTATTTATTTATCCATTCATTGTCTACAAATTCCAATTTTTCATGTTTATAATAATTAAAAAATATATGATTGTGCATTTAGATTTTAATGCACGAGTTCTTTTAGTATACGATACTTATGTACAGTTAGTTTTTCATGATAGTAAGATGAACAAGTACTGTCTCTCATTCATTACTTAATTCTAATGAACATTATATTTAATTAAGTAGAGCTTTAAGAAATTATTCTGTTTCATGTTCAGCCCTGTTTAACAAATAGCCATCAATGCCCAGACTTTTGGTTCATTTTAGAAACATATTTATGAAGGCCCAAAATGTAGTTTTACAGTTTAAAGTAAATTGCATGAAACTTTAAATCACTTGTCAGTTAATAGATGTCACTGCTATTTGTAAATTGATAAACTGGCCAAGACATTGAATTATTAATAGATGTCACTGCTATTTGAATCAGCTATACTCCAGTGTGCTATTATAACACTGTGAATGACATTTGTATTGCTTTCATTCCTCGTAAATTTTTTTCTGCAATATTTTTGACAAAATGGAGTATTTTATCAACCCCAAAATGTTCAGCTGTTGTTGTTTTTTAGTGTAAAACTACATAATGGATTTTCTGCTCTCCGTTCTACACCGTGGGGAATCGAATCCCGCTATTTATTAAAGTATTTCTGTAAAAAATCTTCTTAAAAATAAAAAAAGTCATTCCATACTGTAATTATTGTTAGTAGGATCATAAAAGTAGCATTTATAACTTAAATATGGAAGTGATAAATTTAATGAAAGCATTTCAAATATTAATTGTTTCAAAAATATAGCACTATGAGGTTGCTCTGTTTTGTAAAGCACAAAGTGTTTCTATGGGCTACTTATGCTGTGCCCACTACATTGATCGAACTCCGGATTCGAGTGTTATAAGCCCTCAAGGTCAATATCGAACTAACTGAGAGTTGGGATTAGATTATACATGTAAAGTATGTTTGTTATTAAACAATTAAGAAAATCAACCTAGTAAATCGAGATACAAACAAATAATTTATAGTTATATACGATATTGATTCAAATATCCTAGGAAATGAAGACTCGGTGTTGCTGCAAATGTTTAAGCTTGGCCATTTGATTTTTTTGTCAGAACTTACAAGATCACTAAACTTTTATTTACGAATGCTTTGGGCCTAATTAAAACAGTCGTATGAAATAATCCCACTTTCACCCACGTTAACGTTGTACATTTTATACATTTAATTATATACAGTATTATTAATTTTAATAATGTTTAATTTATATATAGTATTATTAATTTTGATAATTTTTGATTTATATATAGTATTATTAATTTTGATAATTTTTGATTTATATGTAGTATTATTAATTTTGATAACGTTTAATTATATACAGTATTATTAATTTTAATAATGTGTAATTTATATACAGTATTATTAATTTTGATAATGTTTAATTTATATACAGTATTATTAATTTTGATAACGTTTAATTATATACAGTATTATTAATTTTAATAATGTGTAATTTATATACAGTATTATTAATTTTGATAATGTGTAATTTATATACAGTATTATTAATTTTGATAATGTTTAATTTATATACAGTATTATTAATTTTGATAACGTTTAATTTATATACAGTATTATTAATCTTGATAATGTTTAATATGGATGCAGTATTAATAACGATGATGTTTAATTTGGATTTAATATTAATAATGTTTAAATTTACAGAGTATTTGTGACGAATTTGTTCGATCAGAATTTTCTACTTCAACACAAAAGACTCAACATTACATTGAAGAAGACGTGGTTTCAAAGGTAAGTTTACAACCAAACTCTTGACAAGACCTACGGTAAATTAAAAACAACCAGAATTTGTATTCAAGAGAGAAAAATAATATGCTTGGAATGAAAGAGATTGTTGAGCATTTTTAAATTTCAGTCTTGGTGTCACTACAGTTGTTCACTTTGTGATAACGAGCTTTAATAATCCTTATCCAGAAGTGTAACTATCGCAGTGCACAAAAGACGAGTCAGATGACACTTTTTAGGGCTCTCCAAGTGTGTTTATGATATACTTTGTTTATGTTCGTTTGATGTTTAAGGTACTTCTTGAACCTTAGAAATATACATATCATGATTGATCTGCAAGGCAATGGAAAGAGCAAGGACCTCTCCGATTTTCAAAGGACTATTCCAGTGGGTACCCGTATGTCTAATAAGATCATCATTATTAAATACCATTTCTTGACTCACTTTTCAAAAACATCTGTCATCAAAATCTATGAACAGTGATATTAAAAAATGAAAACTCTTGCCACTAGAAAATCTGTGACTACCCACTACTGAGGACAAGTATGATTGGTCAGTTTTGTTAAATGTAACTAATGTCAAATTGTGCCCCAATTGACTGATTGTTTCCACAATGGTTAAGATTTAACTATCTCGAACCATACCATTCAAAGGTCGTTACACAAAATATCAAAATGAAGCCAACAATAAATCCAAAACCATTCTCTTATGCAGAAAGGAAATCGTGTCTTTATTATTGTTTTATTACAAAGTGTGAATAATGAATGACTAGAAGTAAGTTATGTAGTCTCATGAATTGTATTTCACTCTTTCTGTACTGATAATGGAGTAAGTAAAGTAAACTATATAAAACACTTAACATTGTTGGTGTTTTCCTGATAACATAAGCTGCTGGAGGTGGTGTAAAGGTGTGGGGATCTCTTTTGTAGCAGGAATTAAGCCTTTGATTGCTTTAAGAGAGCGAATAACATTTAAAGTGTACTTGAGACAGTCACTGGTTATATCAACCTTACAATGCTTTATTTTCACTCTGATGCCAAGGCCTTCTAAGAAGTTAATAACAGAATCCACCACGATCCATATTGTTTCAAATTGATTGAAAGAGCATTTCAGTGAACTTAGACATCTTTCTTCACAAGCAAAATCATTTGATCTCAATCTTTTATGTTTACATGAATGCTAAATGCAGCAAAAAATCCACCACTGACATTTATGAGTAAATTGTAGAGCTTTAATATAACATCTAATCAGTAATTGAAATAAGATTCAAACGTTAGTAATTAAACTGACAATACAGACTGTAATGAACTCGACAAACCAAAACAGTTATTTTGTATTCAGCATTCTTTTAAGAAACCTTGTGGTGTGGCTCATTTAGAAACTTGGTTACACAAAATGCCAAATTAGGAGCTTCCACCAGGCTCTGCCCAAATATAAACCATTAAAACTCACCTGGGAAACAACACCTTGATGAGGTTTATTGGTCCAGTGTGGCTCATTTAGAAACTTGGTTATACAAAATGCCAAATTAGAAACCTCCACCAGGCTCTGCCCAAATATAAACCATTAAAACTCACCTGGGAAACAACACCTTGATGAGGTTTATTGGTCCAGTGTGGCTCATTTAGAAACTTGGTTATACAAAATGCCAAATTAGAAACCTCCACCAGGCTCTGACCAAATATAAACCACTAAAATTCACCTGAAGAACAACATATTGAAGACATTTGTTTAAAAAACTAACCTGAAGAACAACATATTGAAGACATTTGTTTACCAAAACTAACCTGAAGAACAACATATTGAAGACATTTGTTTCCTTCAGAGAAGAATTTTCGTCATCATATACCAGAAATGATGTTAATTAACTGACTACGTTTTATTTTTTTATAACTTATAAATACAATTGTCATCTCCATTTCTCATATTTGAGAAATTAACATACCTTGACAATGTTTTAGAAGATCGTAACAAAGTGGAAAATAATTATCAGTTCCATTCAACTTATTTCTGTGACCAACGGTAAAGCCATTACACTTATTATCAGTTCCATTCAACTTATATCTGTGGCCAACTGTAAAGCCATTACACTTGTTATCAGTTCTGTTCAACTTATTTCTGTGACCAACTGTAAAGCCATTACACTTATTATCAGTTCTGTTCAACTTATTTCTGTGACCAACTGTAAAGTCATTACACTTATTTTGTTATATATATTTTTGTATATGTAGAACTTTGTTTGGGAAAGATACTCGAAGTAAAAATTAATGAACAGACTGGGTTCCTTCTTTTTCTACACCACTGTGTTTTTGATTGGGTTGTATTGAATGTACCTTCTTTGTTTATAAATACATACTTTATTAAAATATCTCAGGTTACAGTTAACCTTACACCTAAGCAATATACCCGAACAATTAGATATAAAATTTAACGTTTAAATGACTGATTAATTGCTAGCTCACAAAGAAGTAATGTCATTCATTATTTTATTACTTCACTTAAATGTAGTTACGTTTTATTTCTATTTTTTTCTGGTTTTTATTTTTCTCCACAAACAATTGCTACACAGTTAGTTTAATTTTATTCTCTTTTTTAGGAAGATGACCACTACGCTAACCATTCAATGTAAGTTTGTTTGTTTTTTCAACATAACAACACAAAATTTGTGGTTTTGCTTCAAATTATTAATGCTTGATAATCAGACAAACTATACATGAATATGTTAGACACACTTTCCAAATGTAGATTGAAGCTTCAATGATTATATAGTAATAAGTTGATTTAATCTGAATATATTATGTAAATTGTGTTATATTTAGTTATGTTGAGTAAACACTTTAAATGGATATTGCTTAGTAATGTATATAATGTGTTTTTTTTCATTAGTTGTTCAAATTTGGCAATAGGTGTCGCCACGTATTTCATGTAGCTTGTGATTGGCAAAATAAATAATATAGCCTGAATTTTCATATAAATTTCTGAACGGGTAACTTGTTTTTAATAGTTTTTGATATAAGATTTCTTAGGTTATTGGAACAGTGAGTCTTTAGGAAATGACTTGGAATGAGTCATAATATAAATTATCAGAAATAAATCTATTAACGAATCCTTACAGAGAACGAGTTTCTGTTTCAGTATAGTATTCAATTACTCACGAGATAGTCATAATCCTCTTTCTTTACCTAAGAAACTCGAGTAGGCCTAAGATTTCAGTACTTAGAATATTGTATTTGATCATGTCTCGTGTTTAAAAACGTAAGGATATTATACCTACAATTTGAATGAAATGTTCCCTCCAAAAGCTGTTTCAATAACTATATAGGCCTAAAGTTTACGTTAAAAGTGTGACTTTTTTATTGTATATCACACCAAGATATTTTAAAACCGTTTTTGTGTTGGGTTTATCAACTACTAAACAATTTAGTGTGAAGCATATATCCGTTGTTGTACTTTGATGCTTTTTTTTATTTTCTCTAAGTTACTTATCTAATGGGCTTTTTTACCACATATTAAGCTATATATCAAAATTTAATCTTGAGTTAGCAGACTAGGATTTTTGCAGCTTAATGTATCGAAACCTTTTTAGTTAAAGAAATTATGACAACTTATTTTGTCAGTACCTAGTAAACTCGGTACATAATAATAGGTGTATAAAAGAAGATTGATATTCAAGATGAATACGAGCCCGAGGAGTCACATTTTGAAGATGTTACAACGATATTACTAACATGTAGAACGTGCTAAAATAGACTGGCGGGAAACAAAAACCCTACCTAATTACACAAGTTGATTATGTTATAGTGAAACAATTCTGGATCCTAATCACGTTGTTACCGTCCATTTCGCCACGTCTGGTCATACTTTATCTGACGACCGTTCATCTTGACAATAACCCTACAGAGTAGTTTCAATGTAGAAGGTTCCATCGCAAGAATGTCGCGTCCAAAATACATCAGTGTTTCCTGCATGCTATCCGTAAAACATACAGAGTAGGAAACAGCTATTTCCTAACGCTCATTTCAACGTTTTTATCATATAAAAAAATCCATAGGCAACTTCTGTGGTATATTTTCACATTCAGTAGCAGAAATACCTGTTTCATTCTCAAGTTGCTTGAGTGGATATGCTTGTATGTTAGTATTGTTGCCGGGACGACGACTAAACGGCTTTGGCCTCTGACTTTTGCGTCATCTGTTACAAGACTCCGTAAATTGCTTACCGTGGCTGAAATGTGACTTATTACACGTCTCTTTATGAATGGTACTGGTTCCCCAAGTTGATACATAATTCCTTATTTTACAACACCATTAAGTTCAATAGATATATCTGTCTTGGAAATTCTAAGTCCCCGACCTGAACAATATTAAAATTTAATTCTGGTACCTCATGTTCCACCACGATTTTTTATCGGCTGTGGTTGTCACGCTTGTTGCTGATTGGCATATTCAAAATCATTTCGACATAAAGTGCTCAACTCAATCAAGAAAGTGAGTAAACTTTAAAGCTTTTCTTGAATAATATAACAGAAATATGAACTATTTTAAATAGCAGCTTGAAGAAAAAAATGTGTAGAAACTAAGCACCACGTGGATGTTCGATAACCGAAATATATTCATTGATTTTTTTTTACTTTTTTCTTTTGTTTTCGTTAAAAAGATTAACAAAAATACCAGGTGTCTCTTAATTTTGATTTTTTTTTACTCTTGAAAGGCGAAATGTATCTTTCTGACTAGGTTTTGGTGCTTTGAAGATGTCTGTTAGTAGTTGTTCTTCTCTTTACTATGTCGAACATTTTAATGTATTTTCTTCCAGTTGCTGTTTCTAAAATAAGATTTTTCTATCCCACATCCTTCATGCACATAAATACAGAACATAAACTTATTGATCTTTATTGATTAGTTTCAGATTTATTCGGATATGTAGTTTTAGAAGATAAAAGTTTGTTTGTTTGTTTTAGGTACAAAGCCAGTTGGTTTACTCAAGTCAGAGCGGTTGGTTGGAGATCGTTTCTGAGTTTCAGCAGAGAACCGTTACTTACCAACATTCGTTTTGCTCAGACTGTCGTAGGTTGAAGTAATATTTTCATTTAGTGTTCCAACCCCACTTGTTCGGATCAACATTCTTCCAAAACTGTTACTGTGTCAGTTATTCGATTCTACCACACCAACTGTTACAATAATATTATGATATGGTTACAACAGTTGAAATTTATTTCAATTCTTGTTACAGTAATATTATAGTGAAGTTATCACACAACATTGCTTAACCAAAGTTTTGTTTTTTAATAGAAACAGTTGACTAAATTATAAATATTTTAAGGTTTTGAAGTACTAACTACATCAATCTATATAATTCTGATACTTTTGTATATATTATTAGGCCTCTTTAGTGAAAAAAAAATATTTGGTATAATAATCAAACAATCGGTACACTACATAATGTTGAATAATAAATTTGGTGAAATGTCATGATATCATTTACACGATTTAATTAATTTAGGTTACTAAATGGTAAGTTAAAAAGAACTCAAAAACACCAAAAATATTGTACACTCATCACCATTATATGAGGCCTAACTGTATTTCTTTGGACGGCTAAAGAGAGACCGTAAGTATCTGCTGGACCGTCAGCCAATTGACTAAAAATAAAGTAAAATTAAATCTTTTTAAGAAAAATGAAAAAAAAACAAAAACTCTTTGGTTCACTGGCCCAAACTGATATTATGAGTCTTGAATAGCAAAATATTTGTTAGGAAATAACATTTTGAATAGGCCTAATTTTCTTAGAACGATGTATGTTGATTATTTAAGAGGTCAGAAGAAAGAATACGCCGAACACTTACAGTTAGTAGTTATAACGTTCATTATGGGGGATTTTTTTATTAACAGTTTATGGCTGTTTTACTGGGCGCCATCTACTGGAACCAAGATCTGACTCAAGAATCAGTACAAAATATCAACGGTGTTTTGTTCCTCTTGTTGACAAACATGACGTTTCAGAACATGTTTGGAGTGATCAACGTAAGTAATAACATGAAATTGCTGTAAGTTAAAAGTTGTGTGTTAATAATAAAATAATAACATGAAACTGATATAAAAATCAAGGAAATAAAACGTATTTGGAAATAACATATTATATTTTACATTTGCGTGTGGATTTTTGTAAGATCTTTTAGAAAGTTGACTTTTTTGTTTAATGTTTTGGATATCCTCGCTACGTGGGTTATTTGTGCTAGCCCAAATCTTGAACTGATAGACTAGAGAGAAAGCAATTAGTCGACAGTACCCACTTTTAAACTCTTTGACCACTTTTCTGTGATAGAATAGTGTGATCTGACCGTCACTCTTATAACACATCCATAGCCACATAGTACATGTTATGACATGTCCCTCAGAATGTGTTTTCTTTGTAGCCTAAATCTTCAATATATTACGTGAAGTTTATACTTTTGAAGATAAGAGCACTTTTTTAACGCTTTAAATGAAGTTTAAAATAATATTGTTAACACTGTGATTGTATATAGTACTATAATGTCTCCTAGAGGGTCAGCGGTAAAATTACAGATTTAAAACTCTAAAATCCAGGGTTAGATTCTCCGACAGAGTGCAGATAGCCTATTATGTAGCTTTGAGCCGAATCAAACAATAATGTAAAATTGTTGCAGGTATTCTGTGAGGAGCTGCCAGTGTTTTTGAGAGAACATTGGAACGGGATGTATCGTACAGACGTGTATTTCCTGTGTAAAACCTTTACAGAGGTGAGTTTTACCTCAAATCGTGACGTTTTAAACAATGATCCAAGATCGTGTTTAATACAGAGTTGTATTTCAAAAGGGTTAACAAAACAATAGTTACAAATATTAAAACCCTTGAAACATGTTTTAAGATTCTTTTTCTAATTTAAGAGATTTGAATGGCTTGTCACTGAAAGCAATAGACCTTCGTCTACTACTTGTGTGTTTTCATTTTGAATACTAAATATTTAGCTGTTATTATTAAGAAACCTAAAGGAACACAATCAGCTTAGTTCCGAATGAATTATTCAAATGTTAGTAATGTAATCCACTAAAAAAAAAAATATTTCCTAAATATATGAAACGACTATATGAGGTAACACTGCTGTGTTATTTCAATGACTTGCCCAATGAGAAAACGTAATGTTTATGATTCATAATTAAGGTTTGTTTGTTTTTGTTACCAAAATATCAGATGAGCATTAAGGGTAAGTCATAGAATATAAAATATTTCTTCGAAGTGCTTCCTGAAAGATTAATATATATTATAATGTTACACACAGGCTCCGTTATATGTGATCGCACCAGTTCTCTTTACGTCAATATTATATTGGATGGTTGGTAAGTAGTTCTTCTTTATCTTTTAAAGTTACAGACGTTTTACGATCTTGTCAAAATCTTGCAAATCGCAACGAATGTAGGCTTAACAAAAATCGAAGTGGGTGGTTTAAATTCGTTATGGAATCAGTTCACTACCTAATTAATAATTTCGTGTAGTGAATGAATTGTTTGATACGACACTTAAATTGTTGACCTTTAGTCACGTGTTAATTTACACAGAAATCTGTTTGTTTGTGTGTCATATAAGGTATTTAGATACATGATATAGTTAATGTTGACTGATGATCAAAAGCAAGCTACCTTCGTAGATCCGAACTAAAAATCAATACAGTAACAAGTATAACTAATTAAATTAACTTTCGTATTTATTACGATTTTAATGCATTGTTTCATCAGTTGAGTACACTCGTTGTTAACAACATTTTCGGCCATAAACCCAATAATACCTCACGAAGTTCGAATGGCTTAGGATAATTAGATCAGTACTGAATCACTTAACTAACAATGCAAAACGATCTTTATAATGAAAATATGATAATTAAAAATCAACAAAAATATAAGAATTGAAAATAATAAAAATATATATATGCTAAACATTTAAAACCAATACTGTTAATAAAATTAACATAAAAGATAGAACACACCTTCTTACGTGACACATAAACACTAATGGTTCTCTTCATTCGTGTACCATTTATGTATATATTATCAACGTATGATACATTAACACTTGTTATTTATATGTGTGTGTATTCGTAAAAGAACCTATGGTTTCACAATGACTTTTGTAATTTTTAGGACTTTATGACAATGGAAAAACATTTCTCATCTGTAATGGGATCGTCATTTTGATCTCTAATACAGCGACATCATTTGGTAAGAACTTTCCATTCATAGACTACTATAATTAATTAGAATAGCAAAACAGTGTTGTAAATGGCCAGAAAACTAGTGTTACAAATTACTAGAAAAATATTGTTAAAATAACTAGAAAAACAGCGTTACAAATGATTACATAAACAGTGTTGCAAAGAAATTAAATACTATTTTTAATGACATACAATTTTAAATATTTATTTCTAAAGTTTCAAAATAACTGTCACACAATTTAATACATTTTATTCCTAAAAGATGCAAAATATTTTCACAAATTACTGTTATACGAATTATTGAAATGACAAATATTTTGATATACAGTGTTGTTACCCCTCTTAAAAAGTCCCCCAAAATAAAATATCTCAGGAAAACATCCTTTTTTTACTTTTTGTTTGTTTGTAGTTAAGCACAAAGCCACACAATGGGCTATCCGTACTGTGCTTACTGGGGGTTTGTTTTTTGTACAAATTATAAATATGTAATTATATTAAATTTAATATTTACCAATTATAAACTACCAAATTATGATTTGTTTGTATGTTCTTTTTTCTTCATAAGCGCAAAGCTGTACAATGAGTTATCTGCACCGTGCTAAACGCAGAGAGCGAACTTTGAATTTTGGCGTTATAATACAGCCTCTCAAGCTTACCACTAAATCAGCAAGAGGTTTTATGTTATGTCATATAAAATAATCCCATGAAACACATATTCATATATCAATAATAAATAATTCAAATCAAGGACATGAAATTTCCAGTTATTTTAAATAAGCTGTTCAAGAAACAACACGTGAAATATAAGTATACACATTTGATTTTCGAATATACAATATTATTACTATTGATGATTTAAGCAAGGATCTGTGTATTTATTTCTAGGCTACTTAATGTCTTGTATAAGCAGTACTGTAGAGATTGCTCTCAGTATAGGACCAGCCCTACTTATACCTCTAATGATGTTTGGCGGCTTCTTTCTCAACAACTCGTAAGTTATTTCCTTTACATGTAGGCTTAATATTTGTTGACAATCAAATACACGGTAATATTAAGTCATTTCTTTTCCATGTAGGCTTAATATTTGTTGACAATCAAATACACGGTAATATTAAGTCATTTCTTTTCCATGTAGGCTTAATATTTGTTGACAATCAAATATATGATACTATTAAGTCATTTCTTTTCCATGTAGGCTTAATATTTGTTGACAATCAAATACATAGTAATATTAAGTCATTTCTTTACCATGTAGGCTTAAAATATGTTGACGATCAAATACACGGTAATATTAAGTCATTTCTTTTCCATGTAGGCTTAATATTTGTTGACAATCAAATACATGATACTATTAAGTCATTTCTTTTCCATGTAGTCTTAATATATGTTGACGATCAAATACATGGTAATATTAAGTCATTTCTTTTGCTTAATGGTAGTTGGTGATTAAGTATACCGCCAGGTTTTCATTTTACAACTATAGCCTACCATAGGCTTGTAATTACATATGCAATGAGTGTGCAAGTTTTAAAAAACTCACGGAATATTTGGTGCTTTACTGTAAGCTGGAAATTTTTTTGTTTACCTTTGGTGTTTCTATCTGCAATGACTTGCATGAAAATTTGACTATCAGCACACAACTGAACTGAAGTTAGAGTTACAACGTTACCTTTTAATATGCACTCTAAAGCAAAAGATAACATTTGTAGGTGGCGCACTTTTTACTTCAAGTTTCGAGAAAGTATCCAGTCATTTTTTCTACAGAAAAGGTTTAGAAAACTGTTATTTTTCATTTTTTTTCGATGGATAAAAAGTAACTATCCTAGTTAATCAAAATATAAAAAATAATATGAATTATTCTATTTATAGTATGAAATGAGTGGTGTGTTTTTTTAATCTTAAACCGTAATACACTCGAAGCATTTAAATTATTTCTTTATACATTTTTGCAAGTTGATGAATAATCTTGCCTCGATCTCAAACAACTTTAATCTTTAAAAAATTATCATAGTTCAAGTTATTTACTTTTTCACCGCAGTGTGGGGCTTTAGTAGAAAAATAATCTTCCAATGTAGGGATGCTAAATAATTTTATAAATATAAAAAATATTAATATGTTTCTTTATTATCCTGTTTTCCAGCAAATTTTACGTTTTAAAATTTTATTTTAAATGAATTTTATAAATTATTTCCCAATGTTATATTTATAGTTTTCAATAGAACTGTTATTCGATTTTGTTCTCTGACTTTTAGGTCCACTCCAGTCTACTTCATTTGGTTGAAATACGTATCTTGGTTTTATTATGGAAACGAAGCTCTCTCTATAAACCAGTGGAGAAATATTGACCACATAGGTTGGTATCGATTGTTTCTGTAACATGTGTTCAGTATTAGTTCGTAAGGTAAAATAAAATCGGTTATTAATCTACCGATTTGAAAAATTAAAAGTTTATTTTTTGGAATTCTTTAACGAGAATCGGTAGTAATTTGAACTTTCCAGTTGATAAAGACCAAATAACTTGATAATGTTTCAGAAACAAATCCCAACTTAAAAGTGATTTAAACGACCGGCTTGGTATGTTACTTAACAACAAATTGGACATTGTTTTGTTAGAGAAGCAAACCTTTAGTGACTCATTGTGTCACTACGAAAGCGGAGACAATGAGTCATTGTTTCATGCTCGAGTGGAACTAATGTGTTTCACTTGAGAAGTAAATTTGATTAATATTACTTCCCGAGACTTGTAAAAGCATTTATGTTAATAACTGATAGATAGCTTTACAAAAATGGTGCAATCTTCCATATGCTGGTACCAATAGCACACGGAGTTTTTATTTATTTTGGTATCAAAGTCATTTTAACTTGCATTATATGTACGCGTGTGGATAACATAAAAAGTATCAGAAATAAAGTTTATGATCATGAAAATTGCAGTAAACACCGACATTTAAAGAAATATTAAAATCTACTAACAATATAAAGCCTGTTTCCCTAGTTTATGTTCCACTACTTATCGCCACCTATTGTTAGAGAATGGCTATTTCAAATGGTTTTACTTATTGCACATCCACAGCCTGCAACCAAACCCAGATTGGCTGTATTCCTAACGGCAAGGCTGTACTGAAACAGTTGAACTTTGATGAGGTGAGATATCTTACTGATGAAGTTCTTTTAAGAATATTGGTATATTTTAATTGTCATAACAACCAATTACTGAGACGCACGAAAAATACAGACAGACCTGAGGGAAGTATATAGTGATGACAAAGTCAAAAAAATCATTTATTTCCTTTAATATATGGCAAAATGAGTAAATGGTCAGAATACATAAATAATTAGTTTAAATCATTATGTTTCTTTAATTACAACATAGAGTTTCACAAGATTTTTCTTCTTGCAGGATAACTTCATCTTTGACAACTGGCTCTTGGTCACTCTCCTTGTTGGATTTCGTATTCTGGCGTTTATTGGGTTGTTGTTCAGAGCGAGTCGAAATAACTAATACATAAACTATTTTATGGTTTCCTTTATCTAATTATCCGATGTATTTTATTTTTGTACTGAATCAAACTAACTTTATACTCAAATTCTAATTTAAGATTATTACCCGCGAAAAGGAAGACACCAAAGTTCTCGTCCAAGTTTCCATAACAACACATTTTACTTAAAGAAGTGTGGATCAGTATCTATTCTAGTAATAAAGAAAGTTTCATATTGTCGTTCTTAGAAAAACCCAAATATCTTAAAAACAGCAAATTACGGTCACTCTTGGATAAAAGTTTTAAATATATGCTCAAGAAAAGTAGACGGAAAAAATATAGCACAGTGAGCTGTAAGGATGTTGTGAACCAGCTGTACTCCAGTGTGCCGTTATAGCACTTTGAGTTGGAAGGATGTTGTGAACCAGCTGTACTCCAACGTGCTATTATAGCACTTTGAGTTGGAAGGATGTTGTGAACCAGCTGTACTCCAACGTGCTATTATAGCACTTTGAGTTGGAAGGATGTTGTGAACCAGCTGTACTCCAACGTGCTATTATAGCACAGTGAGCTGTAAGGATGTTGTGAACCAGCTGTACTCCAACGTGCTATTATAGCACTTTGAGTTGGAAGGATGTTTTGAATCAGCCATACTCCAGTGTGCCGTTATAGCACTGTGAGTTGGATGTTGTGAATCAGCTATACTCCAGTGTGCCGTTATAGCACTGTGAGTTGGATGTTGTGAATCAGCTATACTCCAGTGTGCCGTTATAACACTGTGAGTTGGATGTTGTGAATCAGCTATACTCCAGTGTGCTAATATAACATTGTGAGTTGGATGTTGTTTTGAACTGATACAGGCTTAACTTAGAAAATTAGTAATGTTAATCTAATACAAACCTTAACTGATACGATGGCATTTAGGCTTAACTTAGATTTGAAATTAGTAATGTTAATCTAATACAAACCTTAAAATGCCATC